AAAAAAAAAAAAAAAAAAAAAAAAAAAAAAAAAAAACCCAACAACAACCAAAAAAACCAAACTTTGTAGATTGACTGTACAACAGATGGTAAATTACTTGCCTTTTGCAAGATTACCCAAATTAATCCAAGCAGCATCAGTCTCAAACCTCTCCCTTTTCATTGCAGTAAGGTAGGGTTTTGACACTTTGTTGCCAGGTTGTATTGTGTTTTCTAAAGGTGGAAACATTTACACCATTTGGTAGAGGGTTGTGTGAAATCTGTACCAAAACCCTTCAGGAAGGGCAAGGGGATCCCTAAAGAGGGCAGTTACAAAACAGTCCTTCGATTCCTGGCCTCTTTCTAATATGCAGTAGATGACATACAGTGGGACTGGCCAAAAACCATCATCTTTAATGTCATGCAAGTCTGCAGCACCCTGCCTCTTTGTGCAAACAGAAGTTTATGATCTCACTATTCGGGGCATGGGAGCAGAATGACAAACTGAATATTTAATTAAGTTTGAGGCAGATTTCTGTGTTTCGGTACCACCAGGTCTGAAGGTCTGCACTGGTGCCTTGAGATGGACATAACCACCCACCCAACCACCACCACCACCACCACCACCGCCTTCTCTTAGTAGTAGCCAGCCTTATGATTCCCAAAATAGGTCAGTACTTAGTTTTTTCTGCATGGCATGCTAAGCCTTCGGAATTCATGAAGCAGCAGCCTGCTGATTAGAAGAGCAGAGGCTACATCATCTTTCCTACTGGTAGCTTGTCCAGAAAACAATATACCACAGTTGCAGCCTTCAACCCAAAGCCACGTTTAAAGCATTTAGGTTCAATGCCTGGAATCTAGAAGCTGCAAGGCACAGATTGCCTAATGGCCAGGAAACCCCTCCTCTTAGTTTCCCTTCACTGCCAGGTTTCGATTTCTCTCACTTCCCCTTACCCAGGCCCATTATAAAAAAAGGTACAATATTTAGTCTGGTGGGATTTAAGTTAAAAAATAAAAAGCTGTCCAGTCTTTTTCGCTTTATCGTGAAGAGTTTGAGCTGGAGCGGCTGCGATGACGTCTTCGACCTGGAGATCTGGATCTTGACCGTCGGCGAACAGGGGACCTGCGTCTTGGAGATCTGGACCTGCCAGAGAAAGGAGGAGAAAAGCTTCATTAGGAGACAAGGACAACAGGTTTAAATTATTTTACACACATCTAGCACCTTTTATCCAGAAGGATCCCAAAACATTTTATACAAAGAGCTCTAGTGAAATGCAGCCATCTCTGGGGTGGAAGGAGGCAGCTCAACAGCACACAACTCAGCAAGAGAGAATATTTTGACCAAGGATACCATGGCAAGCCACCAGAGAACAAACTGGACCTTGGGCTTTTAAATTCTCACCTGAAAGACCTTGCACCACTCAAGTAAAGAGCACTATACTCTATTTTTATTTCACAGAAAAACAAAGAGCTAAGTTGATTTTACTGGTATTTAATCTGTGAATCCAGGGAGACTAGGTATTCCAATGCCAGTACTACTACCAGCAGTACAGCCCCTCTGGCTCAGAGCATTAAACTTGCATTGTTTTTCTTTATCATACTGCAGAACTGTTAGCATACTGCAACTTCAGAGAGTTTCTCCCTTAAACAGAAAGGGGGACAGAGCCTGGACTACAAACAGAAGCCAATAATCTTAACTGACTCTGTAGGAACTATATATGCATCTAATGGGAAGCACAAAACAAGATATCATGAACTTAAAGTCAAGAAAAAATGGTTACCTGCCTTTCATAACTGTTGTTGAGATGTGTTTCTCATGTCCATTCCATATCAGATGTGTGCACGCCACATGCACGGAGATTTCCCCCCAGTGGTACCTGTAGGGCCAGTTCTAGCACACCCTGGAGCCTACGCTCATGAGCCAGTAGTATAAGGGGCACCATCGGCCCTTCGCCCCTTCCAGTTCCTTCTTGCTGTCAACTCCGACGGCAGGATAGGAGGGCGAGTCATGGAATGGACATGAACAACATCTCGAAGAACAACAGTTACAAAAGGTAGGCAACCATTTTTTCTTCGAGTGCTTGCTCATGTCCATTCCATGTCAAGTGAATCACGCAGTGTCCTTGGAGATGGGCTGGGAGTTCACAGGCATGCCAACAGCAACGCAGCTCTCCCAAAACTGGCGTCGTCTCTGGCCTATTGGTGTTTGCGTAATGGGACGCGAACGTGTGGATCAACGACCATGTTGCAGCCCTGCAGATGTCCTGGATCAGTATTTGCGCCAGGAAGGCTAGTGCTCTTGGTAGAATGGGCCTTCACAATGGCCAGAGGCAGGACTTTCACTTGCTCATTGCATACCCGGATACAGACCGTAATCTGGGACGAGATCCACTGGGAGGACACCAGGAGACCTTTCATTCTATCCACAACTCCGACAAACAGCTGTGTCGATCTGCAGAAGGGGCTCATCTGATCAACATAGAAGACTAAGGCCCTTCTCACACCCAGAGAGTGTAGGCATCTTTCCTCCTCTGACTTACGTGGTTTTGGGAAGAAGGCTAGCAGAAAAATGGCTTGGTTGATGTGGAACTGCAATACCATCTTGGGTAGAAAGGCTAGGTGGAGACGCATTGGACCTTATCTTTAAAGAACACAGTGTAAGGAGGCCCCGAGGTTAAGGCTTGAAGCTCTGAAACTCTCCTGGCCAAAGTGATTGCCACCAGGAAAGTGACCTTCCACGAGAGGAGCAGCAAGGAGCAGGATGCCAAGGACTTGAATAGAGGCCTTGTAAGCCTGAAGAGGACCAGGTTTAAGTCCCAAGGCGGAATCAGGTCACGGACCTGTGGGTAGAGCCTCTCCAACCCTTTAATGAATCTGCTTGTCATCTTCTGGCCGAAGAACAATCTGCCTCGGATCGGGGGATGGAACGCCGAGATGACCAGATGGATCACGATTGAAGACAGTGAAAGGCCTTGCTGCTTCAGGTGAAGGAGATATTCCAAGATGGACTGCAAGGACATCTGTGATGGGCACAGGTTCTGCTCGGCTGCCCAGCAAGTGAAGTACTTCCACTTGGCCAGGCAGATTGCCCTAGTAGAGGGCTTTCTGCTACCTAGCAAAATTTGCTGGACCTGCTCTAAGCATGCTCTCTTGTCCAGATTTAGCCATGCAGCAGTCACATTGTCAAGTGCAGGCCTATTAGATTCGGATGGAGCAGTCGCCTGTGGTCCTACGACAGCAAGTCCGGTCTGAGAGGAAGTCCAGAGGACTACAACTGTGAAATCTAGGAGCACGCTGAACTAATGCTAGCGAGGCCATGCTAGGGTGATCAGGATGACCTTTGTCTTCTCCCTTTTGATCTTCAGAAGAACCTAGGCCGTCCGACCATGACCATAGGAAGGAATCTGAGAGAGATCCTTTGCTTTGACCAAGCCTAGAGCAAAAGTGGTAACATTTCTTGTTCTGTGCAGAGGCAAACAGGTCCACCTGGGGAGTCCCCCACCTCTGGAAGATGATGCTGGTGACCTGCGAGTGGAGAGATCACTCGTGGTAAGAGGAGAATGCCCTACTGAGGTGATCTGCCAACACATTCCACTCTCTGGGGAAACATGACACCGCCAGGTGAATGGAGTGCTTCACACAGAAATCCCAGAGCCTGAGGGCTTTCTGACAGAGGACCTTGGAGTGTCCCCCTCCCTGTTTGTCAATATAAAACATTGACACTTTTTCATCAGTACTTGCACCTCTTCTGCCTGAGTCCAGGCCAGGCATATTGCCCTGAGTTTCTTCACATTTATGTGTAATGACAGCTCGTCCCTTGACCAGAGACCTTGGGTCCTGAGGCTGCTGAGGTGGGCCCCTCACCCCAGGTCCGACACATCTGATACCAGCATCATTGAGGGCCATGGGCAGTGTTCCCTCTAATTTTTCCCACGCATGTGCGGAATGAATGTTATGTGCACCAATATGGAGGTGATGTGTAACACATCACCTCCATATTGGTGCACATAACAAAATTAATGTGGTCGGGGTGGGGCCGAGGAATTTGTAGTGTGGGACGGGGGCACAGGATTGGGGTGCAGCGGGGGAGGGCTCCAGGCTGGGGCAAGGGATGAGGGGCTCAGGGCTGGGGCAGAGGGTTGGTGTGCAGGGGGGTGAGGGCTCCGGCTGGGGGTGCAAGCTCTGGGGTGGAGCCGGGATAGGGTGTTTGGGGTGCAGGCTGCCCAGGGGCTACAGCAGGGAGAGAGGACCTCTCCCCCTCCCCCCCCCTCAATGTTCTGCAGCACCACCTGGGCTGGAGGGGGCAGGGGGAGAGGCACCTCTCCCCCTGCCACAGCAGTTCCGTGCTGGGGGAGAGGCACCTCCCCCCACCGCGGCCATGAGCCCCTGCTGCATGGCTGCGCAGCTTAGAGGGAACTTAGGCCATGGGGACTCTAAGGGTACTCCAGATAGAACCAATCTAACCACCATGTCAGGGAAGCCAGGACTGACACAGGAATGGTGAGAATAGAGTCAAGATGGTGCCTGCTCAGTAAGTAGACCAACACGAGCCACATCTGTAGCTCTCTGAGGTACAGTCGAGCATGCCACACCACGTAGTTACATGCCGCCATGTGGCCTAGTAAACATAGGAACACCGGGCAGTCATCAGCAGGCGCACTGACACTCAGGTGATTAAGTCCGACATGGCTTTGAACCTGGCCTCGGCAGGAATTCCCTGGCCTGAGACATGTCGCGTACAGCTCCTATAAATTCTGATCTTTGTACTGGGCCCAATGTTGATTTCTCCTCGTTTATTAGGAGGCCCAGCACTCTGCAAGTTGCTTGTACAGAGATGCTGTGTTGGACTTAATCCCTCGAGAAGCCTTTTATCAGCTAGTCGTCAAGGTATGGGTAGATTTGTATACCTCGGCACCTGAGGTGGGCCGTGACTACTGCCATACACTTCGTGAAGACTTGCGGGGCTGCCAAGAGGCCAAAGGCAAGTGCTGTAAACTGGTAATGTTTGTGGCCCACCATGAAACTGAGGAAGCACCTGTGTCCCCGAAAGATGGAGATATGGAAGTATGTGTCCTTCAAATTGAGGGCGGTGTACCAGTCCCCTGGATCTAGCGAGGGAATGATGGAGGCCAGAGAAGTCATGCAGAACCTCCGTTTCTTGAGATACTTGTTGAGGCAACGCAGATCTAGGATAGGCCTCAGGCCCCTTTTCGCCTTGGGAATCTAGAGATAGCGGAAGTAGAATCCTTTCCCTCTCAGTTCTGGAGGAACTACCTCCACAGCCCCTGCCTGTAGGGCTTGCATCTCCTAGACAAGAAGTTGCTCATGAGAAGGGTCCTTGAAGGACAGTGAAGGGGGCATACCGAAGCAAGGGAGAATACTGTTCCAGCAACTGTCACTGGCGGTAAGTAGGAACTCAAAGGGCACAGGATCGGTGGCACCCCTTATACTGGTGCATGAGCATGGGCCTCCAGAGGGTGCTAGAGCCAACTCTATGGCTACCACTAGGAGAAAAATCTCCGGCAATGATGTATACGGCACATGCACACCTGACATGGACTGAACATGAGCAAGCACTCGAATAAGAAGAAAGGATTTTTATTCTTAGGATTCACTAAAACCTAACTGTTGGTAAGTGAATAATCAGACATTCCAAAATGTAGCTGTGCTTGGAGCGCAGAATGACTGCACATCTCAGCGGGCATCTCTTATCCACCCCTTAAACATCATGTTTTGTAGACCACTTCCTATAGAGTTCCAGTCCTTCTTGTTATATACAGCGGATATAAGGATATATACAGTGAGGGACCATTTAGAGAAGAAAGTTAGTGTCTAACTTTAGATCTTAAGTGCACTAAGGGGCTTCCAACATGTTGGAAAGGAATGGAGAGAAGAATGAAGTCCAACTCAAATTAATCATACATCAGATTCTCCTTATTCTGCCAAGTAGGTCTTTGCTCCCACAGCCAAGACAACACAGAAAGCTGACTTTTAGATGCAGGGAAAGGGTTTGCAGAACAGGAATCCCACCTCTAAAGAAACTGATAGTCACGCTCTAAGTTTGGTCAACACTGTAGTCAAAAGTGTAGTAGCCACACCAGGTTTAAACAGAACATGGGTTGAAACCATATTGTCAATGTAGTTTTAACAGGGCCCAAGAGGGTTATAAAAATCAGATGAACTAACCTGGTACAGTAGAACGTCAGGAGTTATAAACACCTCGGGAATGGAAGTTGTTCGTAACTCTGAAATGTTCGTAACTCTGAACAAAACATTATGATTCTTTCAAAAGTTTACAAAATGAACTTAATACAGCTTTGAAACTTTACTATGAAGAAGAAAAATGCTGCTTTCCCTTTATTTTTTTAGTAGTTTACTTTTAAACACAGTACTGTACTGGCGCTTTTTTTTTTAGTCTCTGCTGCTGCCTGATTGTGTACTTCCAGTTCCAAATGAGGTGTGTGGTTGACTGGTCAGTTTGTAATTCTGGTGTTCGTAACTCTGAGGTTTTACTGTACAAAGATTAAGGAAGGACAGAGATTAAATGAAGGAGGGAAAATACAAGAGCTAACATCTGAAGGATATTAATAAGCAGAGTTTGGTGGTTGATGGATATACTGTAGATCTTACATCATGTCAACTCAACTATTAAGTTTCAGAGTGGTAGCCATGTTCGTCTGTATCAGCAAAAACAACAAGGAGTCCTTGTGGCACCTTAGAAACTAACAAATTTATTTGGGCATAAGCTTTCGTGGGCTAGAACCCACTTCATCGGATGCATGAAGTGAAAAATACAGAAGCACATGAAGTGGGTTCTAGCCCACAAAAGCTTATGCCCAAATAAATTTGTTAGTCTCTAAGGTGCCACAAGGTCTCCTCGTTGTTTCAGCTATTAGGTTATGTCTACAATACAGCTGCATAGCTACCACGCACTTCAAGGTAGACACAAGTGGTTTTTCCAGCAATGTAGGTAGTCCACTTCTCCGAGAAGTGGTAGCTAGGTCGACAGAAGAGTTCTTCTGTCACCCTAGCTGTGTCTACACTGGGAATTAGGTCGACATGGCTACATCACACAGGGCATGACATTTTTCACAGCCCTGAGTGATATAGCTAGGTCAAAGTTTTAGGCCCCAGTATTTAAGGAAATCGGTGTCTCAAAAACTTCAGCTGTTCTGAGCAGGGCCCAGTAAAGATCACCAATCATGTCCCATAGTGGTAACAGCAGCTTCTAACAGATCTTTAAGAGTTTGTGTTTACTAAACCAGGAGTGAAGATGATCAGTCTCCAGGTTTAATAGGTCACTGATACGGTTTACTGAAATCAAGCCCAGGGAGGCGAAGTTACCAGTGATGAAATCTGTGCCAGAGAGAAGATGCTTTGTGCCAAGAATTAAACATTACCATGCTTACACACTTCTACGGTACTTCATAAAATATGGCTCACCTTCTCCTCATGCGAGGTGGTGACCTACGCCACATTGGTGGTGGCGGCAGCATCCTCCTTGGTGGGCTAAAGCGCCTGGGAGGTGGCCTAGGCCGAGGTGCCAGTACAGCTGTAGCAGTGATCTCCTGACCATCAATCTGTCCTGTTTACAATTAAAAAGAAAAAGAATAAGCTAAAAATTTCCAGCACCAGTGTGCTACACATAGCACTATTGCACCCCTACTACAGACTTCCATCCTCACAAGGTTGCTGCTTTGGTCCGTTTGGAGCATTCGTGATCTAGTGGTTACAGCAAGAAATCACGAGGCCTAGGGTTTCTCCCCAACTTTGCCACTGACTCACTGTCTCGCCCTGAGCAAATCATTTAGACAGTCAACTTAAAAATCACTTCTGCCTAAAACCCATGAAAGGTTTAGAACCTACTATTCTGACCAGCAACAGTTCAGATGACAGAGTTGGGGTTTTTTGGATCATCCGACTTTGTGAGACAGTACTTTATGTAAGGTCAATGATCCTTTTAACTCATTTGTATCAACCCTCATATCCTCCACGGGTTTCTATTAGTCCTGCTGGTTTCTTTGTACAACATCTGGTACCTACCTCCATCCATATGCTTCAGCGCCTTTTCAGCATCATCTGGATTCTCAAACTCCACATAGGCATAACCCTTGGAGAGATGTGGATTTAACCTGTCAACTGGCATGTCAATCATTTTAATCTTCCCATAAGTGGAAAATATTTCCATGATGTGATCCTAGAGAAAAATAGTGATTATTAAGGACAGTGCCAATTCCCACTATCATGTGGTATTGATAGAGAAACTACACTTGACCAGAGCTCGGAGAGCCGGGAAGGCATACCCAATACAAGATCAAAAACCAATACCAACATCAAGGAAGACCAATCTTATTAACTGGATATGGATACAGTTTGAATTCCCACCAGCTCTCTATTGCTGCCTATTCAGTTTCTTCCTCGGAATTCCCAAACCCTAGACAAATGTATATGGACTACCCTCCTCAAAAAAGGCCAGAGGATCTAGGCTGTGGTAAACTTTTCAGGAGTGAAAGAATGAATGAAATCATGAAGTTTATGTGGGAAATGGCAAGGAGAGGGGCTGTCTGAGGTCAAATGCTAAAGGCGACAGATGTATTTTCTCTCTTTAACATTTAGGATCATTTATATAGCATCATATAGTTACATGTTCCCCCTACGAAGGCCTCACACCTCACCAGAACAATTATCTGGCAAGGAGGACTGAACTGAGCACCACTCCTGCAGATCAACCGCGGACATTCTCAGCTGGCCTCCAGTTGTAAATTTTTCAACAAAGGGGTCAGCTACTCTTCATCTTCCAACCAAGACAAATGTAAGTTACACAACACCCTGCAAGAGAACCAGGAAACCAAGTACAGGGTTTAAATCCAAGTCCCCTGCTTGATAACACAGGGCATGAGATCTGGGACATGGCATACAGGTCTTTTGAGAACCATACCCTGCCATGGATTAATTGCTCTTGGCTTGAGCCAAGTATGATATGATCAGGTGCCATGCAGGTTTCCCTACAGACAGGTCTGCCAATGCACCTCAACCTTGCATATGGATAATGTAAGAACTTCCAACACAGTGACACCTGATTGCAACCTAGTAATAAACTGTTTCTGAAGATACTATTTAAAAAACTCAAATCACTCTCCCAAAGATGTGAAAGTTCAAGGATAAAGAGGGGCAGGCCATTACCTTGGTCACATTTCTGGTGAGTCTCCCAACATGCACTTTGGTAGGTCTGGGTGATGGACTTCGTCTCTTCCGCTCTTTTTCATCTCTCTTGGGTGGCTTAGACCTGAGTTGAATATTACCAAACTATCAAATCTCCTGGTAACATACAAGCCAATCCCCATAACTAAGGCTACATTTTAGTCAAGTCATGGACAGGTCACAGGCAGTAAACAAAAATTCATGCCCCGTGACCTGTCCATGACTTTTACTATATACCCCTAACTAAAACTTGGGCTGAGGGGGACGCAAGTGCTCTGGGGGGCACCGTGGCACACGGCCTGGGCCCCCTGCTGGTGCTTCATGAATCCGTGACTTCTGTGATGGACTCGCAGCCTTACCCATAACACATAAAGGTGACTTGCAAAGGATCTTTTTGAATTGGACTTGTATCTTGTTTTGCTTCTTTATAATAAATAAGGGTCTGAAAATCTGCAGGAGTGGAGAGTTTGAAAGGTTTTTGCTTGCTTTTTAATTCAGAAATATCCTGAACGTCAAATCTGTTTTTCTCTGATTTTGCTGGAGGAACTCTTGGGATCTAGAGCATGTGTACCATGAGTTCTCATACATTAACTGAAGAGGGGCTAGGGTCTTGCTGGGTTCATAGCCAAACCTAGTAACCACTTCCATCGGCACAGGTTTGGTTTTGGCAGCTTTCTGGCTATGGACATCTTATTAGGATGGAAGACCAATGAATTATGAAGCAAGCTTACCAAGGAATGTTCCTACATAGCACAACCATGTTGTTGCCAAAAGCTTAAGATAAGATTGCTGGTGATGGACATAAACCAAATATCCAGGCAGACCACCTTAAAGACCTAGCTAGAAATGGATCCAAGTGGCGCTCAATCTGCAAGAAAGCTACATCCCTTTGGGATTTGCCATGATGATGGAGCGTTCAGCGTTGAACAGATTTCCTTTCTCTCAAGTGTTTATTAGCCACTGGAGTCATGTGTTAACAAAAATAGATGCGTTTAAATACTTTAAAAAAAAAAAATGTTTTGCTATTGCCCAGCTTTCAGTTTCTTGACTCGTGATCCCAAATGCACTAGGTTCATTAGTCAGTCTGCCAGGGTAGAGAAGATTTTTTTTTTTTTTTTTTTTTTAAAACAAAAGGGCAGATAAACTTTTGGAAACAATATTTCAGACCGTCTATGCCAGGGGCGGGCAAACTTTTTGGCTTGAGGGCCGCATTGGGTTTCCAAAATTGCATGGAGGGCCGGTTAGCTAAGGCCGTGCCTCCCCAAACAGCCAGGCGTGGCCCGGCCCCACCCCGTATCCAACCCCTCCTGCTTCTTGCCCTGACAGCCCCCTGGGACTCCTGCCCCATCCAACCCCCCGTTCCCTATCCCCTGACTTCCCCCGGAACCCCTGCCCATGACTGTCCCCCGCCGCCCCATCCAACCCCCCCCCCTCATTCCTGACTGCCCCCCCAGGACCCCTACTCCCATTCAACCCTGCTGTTCCCTGCCCTCTGACCGCCCCGATCCCTATCTACACCCCCGCCCCCTGACCACCACCCCAAACTCCCCTGCCCTCTATCCAACCCCTCCTGCTCCCTGCCCCCTTACCGCGCTGCCTGGAGCGCCGGTGGCTGGCGGCGCTACAGCCACGCTGCCCAGAGCGCCAGGACAGGCAGCCACACCACCTGGCTGGAGCCAGCCACGCCACCGCACAGCACAGAGCACCGGGTCAGGCCGGGCTCTGCAGCTGCACTGCCCCAGGAGCTCACAGCCCCATCGCCCAGAGCATTGCACTGGCGGCGGAGCGAGCTGAGACTGTGGGAGAGGGGCCGGGGCTAGCCTCCCGGGGAAGGAGCTCACGGGCTGGGCAGGAGGGTCTTGCGGGCCATAGTTTGCCCACCTCTGCTCTACGTACATCACAAATAAATGAAGGGGCGCTGTAACAGGGTGCTGGCTAAGGAACCTGAGCCAGGCCTCTGTCACACCAGCTCCAATCAAAAGAGAAGAATTGGAGCTGGCTGAGTAAGCCCAGGCCTGAGTGGCAGATGGGGATCAGCTGCGGGCCTCTTTAGCCAGGGGCTACATAAAGGCTTGCAGGAAGGAAGCCGAAGTAGGAGAAGGAAAGGGAGGAGCCAGAGAGTTAGAGGGAGTGGGAGCTCTTCTCTGCTGGCTGCAGGAGTCAGCAGTTCCCAGGGCTGTGATACTGAAACTGTTTGTAGCTAAAAGGTAGTGGGAAAGTAAACTGTAAATAAAGAGCATGGGTGATTGCACCAACGCAGAGGTCTCTGGCTGGTTTGTGGGTGCAGCAGGGGCAGAAGCCAGAGAGGTTCAGCTGCACCCCCGTTACCAGGGCCGGTGCAACCCATTAGGCGCACTAGCGTTTGGGGAGCGGCATTTCGGGTCCTTCGGCAGCAGCCACCGGATCTTCGGCCGTCCCGGTTGTCGTCGGCATTTAGGCGGAGGGAGCTGGGGCAGTGGGGCGCAGGGAGGGCCGCCTGCAGCAAGTAATGGGGGGTGGCACGCAGGGGAACTGCTCCCCGCCCCAGCTCACCTCTGCTCCGCCTCCTCCCCTGAGCACGCCGCCCCGCTCTGCTTCTCTCCCTCCCAGGCTTGCGGCGCCAAACAGCTGATTGGCGCCGCAAGCCTGGGAGGTGGGAGAAGTGGAGCAGCGACGGCGTGCTCGGGGAGGAGACGGAGCAGAGGTGAGCTGGGGCGGGGAGCTGCCGCACGGCTCCCCGGGCCGGGAGGAGCTGCCGCGGGGGGGGCCTTAGTGCGGAGGGGACGGGGGGGGAAAACACGCAAGGGGGAAGTTTCCCCCTGGGGAGTGAAATGCCTTGGCCCGGTTGAGGCAAAAAGGCTATTATTTGGGGGGGGGGGGGGGAGAAAGAGGGCATTTATCTTGGTCTGCCAATGAAACCCCTTCACAATAGTCATTTTCACATAATTTTAGCAGCTATCCCAGACAGGTTTAGGTTAATACAGACATACCATTTGAAAACTGAGTTTTCAAGCTTTCAGATATCAACCAATGGATCTTATCTGTTTTCCCATCTGTTAAATGGGGATATTACCTCACAAGGGCACATTGGTGAAGACTGTTTATAGTGCTTTGAAGTGGTAAAGTTGTATGCAAGTACTAAGTATTATTAACTAACTGCTCAAATTAGTGGCTGCTAAGAGAAGAATCACACTATAGGGGTTGCATAAAGGGGGTGGGAGAAGCTAAGGCATGGGAATAAGAGCCCATCTATACTAAGGACATTTTAGAAAAGTTTCACAGCATTGCTAATGGGAACAGTAGTGTAGATGAGTTGTGGTTTAGTCTGCAGATGAGAAGAATGAGGGGGGATTTAATAGCTGCTTTCAACTACCTGAAAGGGGGTTCCAAAGAGGATGGATCTAGACTGCTCTCAGTGGTACCAGATGACAGAACAAGGAGTAATGGTCTCAAGTTGCAGTGGGGGAGGTTTAGGTTGGATATTAGGAAAAACTTTTTCACTAGGAGGGTGGTGAAGCACTGGAATGGGTTACCTAGGGAGGTGGTGGAATCTCCTTCCTTAGAGGTTTTTAAGGTCAGGTTTGACAAAGCCCTGGCTGGGATGATTTAGTTGGGAATTGGTCCTGCTTTGAACAGGGGGTTGGACTAGATGACCTCCTGAGGTCCCTTCCAACCCTGGTATTCTATGATTCTATGGTTGCTGACACCATATTGGTCAGAGTAACTTCCAGCAGAGTTAAGAGGACAGTACTGAAAATTATGTCTGCAACTGAAATCCCAATGATACTATGGCTCCTAGCATTGCTAACATCAGTTTAGTTGATGGGGGAAATTCTCCTAAATTTCCCTAGCATAGACAGAGCCTAAGAGACAGCAGGCTATTATTCTTTACCCCTTCGAAGTCAAATAACAGTGAGAGATGCAGGAGGTGACATGGGCACAGTAAACAGGCAAATTATAGATCTAGCAATTCAGAGCTCTCCGATTTCTGCTCTCTAGACAGGGACCCTGGTGCCATGTGATTATGCAATCATTTAAATTGCTGCGTATTTGTGGAATTTTTTTAATTGGCACATAATTGTAGGATCAAGCCATAGACTGTAAGCACGTTAAGTGGGAATCATAACTTTTGATACATGCACATACAGTGTCTAACACAATGGGAACCTAATCCTTGTTTGGAGCCTTTTGTACTATAACAATACAAATAAGCTCTGATGGTGGCCTAAGGAAAACATCAATAAACCACCAAAAAGCATACTGCACCCATTACAATAGACTGAGTGGGAGAAGCAGAGTACCTGACATACACAAGGCCTTTGTTACAGACCCCAAACTTTCATACTTTTAAGATTTGTTTTCAGCCCTTCCTAACCTCCACATCTAGGAGTGTAAATGAAACATTGTGCCTGTATAGCACCTTTGTGGGGGAGAAAAATCAAACTGTTTCCAAACAACTGTCCAGTACAGACACTTCTTTTTTGGGGAGAACAGTTCTGTACTCAGAAGGAACTGGACTAGACAACTTATGATTTTGTGACTATACTCACAGCACCAGGTTCATGTTATACCCAAAGTGAAGAATTCTAGAGAAACAAAGAAGCAGATTCTACTCAGTTCAATTTCTACCTTAAAGAAAAACATGATTCCTTGCAATTTTTCCACCAGTTTCAATCTGCTACAAGTCCCAGATTATGCAGATAAATAGTCTGATATGCCCCACCTTCTGTAGATCCCAAATAATCAGGCATGGATACATTTTAGATATGTGATTGTGTGTGTGTGGTATATGTGAGAGTCAGTTATGAATTAATGAGATCTTTAAACTCCTTCCTGAAGAACATGTAGTTAGGTTACAAGTGCAGGTGGCACCCATGCTCAAGCAATAGCTAGATTGTATCTCTGGGATATGAATAAAGCAGACAATTTATTTTTTTTATACAGATAGATTACTTCTCTGTTCACAAGCCTACACCCTCCATGGCAACTTCCCAACCACCTGATAATTTTTACTGGATGAATCAAACTCACTTGGAGCGGGAACGTCTCCTGTTGTCATGTCTACGTCGAGATGGGCTTGGGGATCCAGAGGAACTGCTGGAACTGGAGCTACGAGAGGTGCTGGAGCTCCCAGAGCGGCTTGATGCAGAGGAGGAACTGGACCCACTGCTGGAACCAGTGCTGGAGCTGGACCCTGAACTGGAAGTGGAGCTGGAGCGGGACCTTTGGGGGAAAAAAAAATCAGTGCAGAATACACAGGGGAAAGGATAGCTGAATATCGTCTCCAGGTAAGTACAAGACAAGAATCGGTGGTTAAAGCGATGAGAGCTCAACCTCACAGCTAACATTATTTCAGCCAAGGGAGAGACTGCACTCTATGCAAAGCATACTCATTGATAAAGCAAGAGGGTCACTTTTTAGCAACACAATCCCCCAAGGAGTCTTCTAATATGGGGAACCACAAAGCAGATTTGTAGCATTTGAACAGGAGCACAACTCACTACTATTTGGGCTATCACTGGGATGCAGAGAAACTCTAGTTACCTGGTACTGCTGCTACCACTGGAAGCACTGCGCCTTTTGCGTGTTTTGTCCCGACCACGATCCTTTTCACTTGATTCCTTGGTGGACACTTTGTCCTTGGATCTGTCCTTGGATTTGTCTTCAGTCCGATCTTTGCGCTTGGTTGGAGAGGGAGCCCTTTAAGAAGAAAAGGTCAAAAGAAATTATTTCACTTTAAACATAACACTGAACTTTAAAGCCAACTTGGGCTGGTCCACACTGGGGCGGGGGATCGATATAGGAAACGCAACTTCAGCTACGAGAATAGCGTAGCTGAAGTAGACGTTTCCTATATCGAACTAAAAGTACCTACTTCGGGTCCACGCGGCGCAGGCAGGCTCCCCCGTCGACAGCGCTTCCTCCTCTCGGCGAGCAGGAGTTCCGCAGTCGACGGGGGAGCGCTTCTGGGATCGATCTATCGCGTCCAGATGAGACGCGATAAATCGATCCCAGAAGATCGATCTCTACCCGCCGAATTAGGCGGGTAGTGTGGACCAGCCCTTAGAATAACAATTATTGCAGAGCTAGAACACTAGGGTTTTTAATTTTTTTTTTTTTTTTTAAAACAGATCACAAAAGTTCATGCTACAGAGAAACTTTAAAGAAGAAAGTCAAAGTTGTAATTTAAGAAAATTCTCATTGTGAGAAGAGAGATACATTTCCAATTCCACATCCTCACTGGAAACACCCTAGTATCCTACATGTCCCCAATGGGGATAAGCCTAGAAAATTCAGACAGAATTATTACCTAGTGCTGGATTTTTTATTATTTTCTTTGAATCCTAGCAAACTCTTCTTTTTCATTCCTGAAAACTCCATTTTCCCTTCTGAGGCGTCCCAAGCAGCACTGGATGGGCCTCACTTATCTCAAATCTCACTTCTAACTCCTTGATTCTGAGAAACGATCCCTAATCGAGTGCAATAAACTCCAAAGAGCGGCCTAGTGACAAGATAAAAGGGTTTAGAAACAAGAAATAAACGTATTGGCAAAAACAACAAACCTACTTTTCAATAAAGGCAGCAAGAGGTGGGGGTCAGCTAATGAGATATTGACAATATCATATTGTACACACAGTAGTTACTCACATTGTTACATTGCTATTAGAGCCAAACACCTGTGCCTGCTCACACAAAGATACACACTGTCCATCTTGCTGAAGACTTGATATGGATGCCTCAAGGTGTCAGCTGACATTTTCATAAGAGTACAAAGGGTACAAATTAGCAAGCCGAGATGTATGGCAGACAGGGAAAACATGGATTTTCCACAAGTTTTCCTCTGCCAGGTGTATGAGTGTTGCCTAACCTGCCTTGTGACAGCCATCCGCCCCTCAGAGGACTAAGCACTGCTTCCTCTAGAGCCAATTGCTGCCACAACATATGTTGGCAAAGGGGTGTTTCCCAAAAGCTGCATAGGGCACTCCGTCTCCCTACTTTCAGTGGATGCAAGCTGCCTCCATTGCTCTGCCAACCTTGAAAGCAAGGCACTGAGCTGAGGAACCAGTCTGATGCACAGTTGTAACTGCAAAAGTGCATGTTCGAATCTCTCTTGGTGGAAGGCCTACATGGGGCTCAGATTTCATCCACCCCTACAGATCTCTTTGTAATCTTGATACAAATAAAGGACACAAATCAACACCATTAATTCATATTAAAATACTAGTCATGAGCTGAACCCTAGGTGCAATCCATAAGAGGTCTTTTTATCCCATATGTAATATGGTATCCCAATATATCTTCACGTTTTAACTAAATTGGTGGATTGCTTACCATTTAATAAAGGTCCCAGAGGTATGTGACCTAATAGCCCAGGGGGTCTCAAACTGGGGGTCAGGACCCCTCGGGGGGGTCACGAGGTTATTACAGGGGGGTCATGAGCCATCAGCCTCCACCCCAAACCCTGCTTTGCCTCCAGCATTTATAATGGTGTTAAATATATAAAAAAATTTATAAGTGGGGGTGGGGGGTTGCACTCAGAGGCTTGCTATGTGAAAGGGGTCCACCAGTACAAAAGTTTGAGAACCACTGTAATAGCCATTAACAGCAATTGTTAGGTTGCTCCTGTTTGGTTTATGCTCACTACAGAGCCAACTTAGCAGTCACCATTATGGTGGTTGAGGTGCCACCAGACTCCTTGTTGTTTTTTGAAGCTGTATACAGTATCTCTATTATCCTAGTCAATTCATTAAGCATTTGGAAGGCGACTGGACATCATTTGCATTTTTAAAAGTGACTATGCACTGCCAGACCCATAAAACAGGATACATAATGCTACTAACAAAAATGAAGCTGGATGCTTAGGCACATTACATAAATTAGAGTTTAGAAACATTTGGTAATAAGAATAAACTCCATGTAGTTTTCTGGATTTCATATTGTTTTGTCCTTTGAATCTGCAATTCTCTTATACTGATTTTCTGGGGCACGACAATTTACCCATTGTCTCCCTTTCCCCCCATAGAAATACATGTACCCTCACTTAATAGAACAAACTCTGTCTTGCTTATTTACAATCAACAAATTGACTGCAAATGTCTACTTTCTGATGAGTAGAAACTGAAATCTCAGTGAATGAGACAAGACTACATGACTTTCACCCAGTTATCAGTGTATTCAGGCTGAGACTTCGAGGGCAGGGGACTGGACTCGATGACCTCTCGAGGTCCCTTCCAGTCCTAGAATCTATGAATCCTAGCCAACACTCACTGGAAAATAATTCCATTAGGAACAAGTTATGTATATATCTACAGACAAACGTATACATGCATGGATGGCATTTGCAAGAATATGCTTTTTTCCTACTTATTACCAAGAAAACCTCTCCACTAACAAATGAGTTTTTCTGCAGCACCTAATATCTAAATGAAAAACAAACACAAATCATACAGGATGTGTTGGTTTGATACTTTACTCTCTCACTTTTCTTCTCTAAGGAGTTGTGCACTACCGCTCTACTCTCATAAAGTTACATTACAGTGATGGGTGAGGCAAACTCAGCTCTGCCAAAGACTTCCTGTATGAACTTAGCTATTAAGGCAAGTCATTTAGTCTCAGTCTTTCTGTGCCTCCGGGTCCCCATTTGGAAAATGGTGATAACATTTCCTTATAGAAGTGTTACAAGGTTAAATTCATTAGCATACAAGGAGCATTTAGTTACTACAGCGATAGAGACCACAGAATTACCCAGATAAATAAATGCTTGTGTTCAGTCTGTATCTCAGTTTGCACAACGTTTTGGGGGGGGACATGTACTGCAATCTGCAGTGCCAGATGCACTATGGGTTTGTTAGTGACCACAGAACATGTGCGGCCTTACTATGAACATGGCCACGATGACGGCTGAGAAACAGGGATAGAAAAACACAGCCCCGAACAGGATCGACAGAGAAGCGGATCCTCCCCCACAACTGCCCCTGCGGTTAGCAGGTGCAACAGAACAGGAGATGTGGAGGGACAGAGCAGTACTGGAGCATGCGCCCTGTTCCAGAGCGGCCCACCCCGACCCCCAGCTACAGGGGAACGCAGCTTCACCATCCCCGCTGCAAAACCCCAGCGGGGCAGCCTGGCCCAAGTGCAGAGCGATCCCCGAAAGCAAGAGGAGGGAGAGATGCCTCTGCGGCCCACCCCTAAACTTCCACGCAGGCTTTCCAAAGGCCCCTCCCCCAGGCTCCATCCTCCGGGGCGGGTTAGGTCCCGGCCTTCCCATCCCCACCTGCCATATCCTGCTCCGCAGCTCCAGGCCCCTCCTCTCGGGGTCCGGAGACGATAGCGGCGGCCCCCGACACCTCACCCAGGCCGGATGGCGCTAGATCCCCGGCCACCCCCTACTTACATCCTCAGCGCCCGCCACTGCTACCGCTCCCGAGTCCCGACCCCGTCGCGCTTAATAGACGCGGCTCCGCGCAGAGCGGGAAGCGCTCCGGACGGCGCATGCTGATGGCGTCACCCGCCAACGGGGCAAGGGGATGGGGAAGGCATTTAAAGAGACAAGGCAGATTGGTCTGTGTTGCTCGCTGCTGCTGGCAGCGCGGGCTGTGGCAGGGCTGAGTCTGTTCGCCGCCCCCTGGGTCTGATGGGGGCTGAAGTCACGGCCACCACCGACTGCGCCGTCCTGCATGGAGAACAGCCTCCCGGCCCCGCTCAATAGCTCCCCGCAGGGCTCCCACAGTTCACCTGGTGTGTTGTCCCTGCGTATCCACACACAACATGTCTGCCCCCCCGGCCCACGCAATCTAACTGCCATCTGCCATAACCCCATGCCAACTTTCTGAGGGAACAAAACCAAACAGCCTTGTACAGTCCCTTCTCTGAGGCCTTGCCTACCCCATCTGCCCCCCCCCCGTTGTCCCCCCCCCCCCATCACTTACTCGCTCATTTTTACCTGGGTGGGGAGGGTCCCTTGGGTGTTCGGTTGAAAACTGGACACCAGGAAACCCCACCCAGTATCTTCCAGGGTCTACTCATCCTACACAACAGCACCTGCCATACCCCCCATGTGTCCCTCCCACCCACCATCTGCCATGGACCGTTCATCCCACCCAACACCACCCAGCATCTTCCAGGTCCCTGCTTGTCCTATATTATGGCACCAGCATCTGCCATAGCCTCCACGTGTCCCTCCCACCCAGCATCTGCCATAGCCCCCCTGTGCTCCCACCCAGCATCTGCCACAGGCCCTGTCAAGGCTGATTCCCCACTCTGACACTTCAAGTGCAGAAGGTGGGGGCCTGCAAGGATTCTAAAAATTAATACTGGCCACTCCAGGCTTGTATTAAATTCCCAAGGTTACAGCTTTTCTTTGACCTTGGATGGGTAGATGCTGCCACCACCCAAGAGCAAAAACCCCTTTGAGAACACAGGAAGGCACACTTGGGAATTCTTTCCTGTGGGGTACCCTTAAGCCCTTTCATACACCCCCTCCGGGGAAGAGCTGTGAAAGAAAAACAAAGGAAATCACCTGTTGCCACCAGCTAATTAAACAACATGTGCAAAAACCTCTTAGGACACAGAACTCCAATCCTGTTCTTAAAAAAAGGTAAATTTTATTTAAAAAAAAAATACATCTGAAAACTCAGGTTATTGATAGATTTAAAAAGAGCAAATACAAAAATTAAGACTCAAGAATAGCTTTCTTGAGGTCCAGCTTAAGGGTTACAAGCAAAACAAAAGCACCTGGCGTTAGCACAGAAGAATCCACAAGCCATAACGAAATAAAAGAAATAAACCTAATCACATCTTCCTGGACATTTCCTGATCTACTTACATATCTGAGGTTTTAAATTAGTAGTTTCTAGGTATGATCTGATGATTTTCCATACCTGGCCCAAAACTTCTTACAGCATTGCTGCTCTGTCCCTTCTCTCCAGGACAACAACACAGACGAACAAATGGGAATTTTTTTTCCCAATTTTAAAAAGTTCTAGACTTCCCATTGGCTCTTTTGGTCAGGTGCCCACTCCCTTCCTTTTACCTATGCAGGGAGACTTGTTAACCCTTTACAGGTAAAGCAAATAGAGAACAACTACTAAGAGGGATTTTATAGCTAACTGGCTGGCTGGATGTCCATAAAAGGGAGCTACCCCCCACCCCCCATTTCATTTAACACAGCCCCACATAGCAGCACAGCACCCAGCATTTGCCACAGCCCCACATGTCCCAACCAGCATCTTCCATGGCCCTGTGTGTCCCAACAGACACCACGCTGTTTGCCATGGCCCTGTGTGCATTCAGCAGGTTCAATAAGACATATTCCAAAATAAATAGTTACAAGACAGAGTCGGGTTCCTGCCATTCCAAGCAAAGCATCGAAAACATGTTCAAAGCAGGATGTCCCAGTGTTAAAATTATCTAATACTCAGATTAAAGAAAGAGTTTCTATGCATCTGGGTATAATACTTATCCAAAAGTACAAAGTTTGGTTTTAAAAATCATAAAATACATATCATACATAATTTGCAATATCCTAAATTAAAGTTAATAAATTTAATGATACGCTTTAAATATTAGCATTAGGGCTGTCGATTAATCGCAGTTAACTCACATGATTAACTCAAAAAAATTAATCTCGATTAAAAAAATTAATTGTGATTAATCACAGTTTTAATCACATTGTTAAACAATAGAATATCAATTTAAATTTCTTAAATATTTTTGGATGCTTTTCTACATTTTCAAGTATATTGATTTCAATTACAACACAGAATACAAAGTGTACACTGCTCACTTTAGATTACTATTTTTATTAAAAATATTTGCACTGTAAAAATGATAAACAAAAGAAACAGTATTTTTCAAATCACCTCATTCAAGTACTGTAGTGCAATCTCTTTATCGTGAAAGTGCAACTTACAAATGTAGATTTTTTTTTTGTTACATAACTGCACTCAAAAACAAAACAATGCAAAACTTTAGAGCCTACAAGTCCACTCAGTCCTATTTCTTGTTCAGCCAATCGTTAAGACAAACAAGTTTGTTTACATTTATGGGAGATAATGCTGTCCTCTTCCAGAGGGACATGCTGGCCACTTCCCGAGATCTGCCTGAGGTAAGCGCCACCCAGAGACTGCACTCCTCATCCCCTCCCGCGCCCCAACCCCCTACCCTGAGCCCCCTCCCACACCCAAACTCCCCCCCAGAGCCCGTACCCTGCATCCCCTCCCGCGCCCCAACCCCCTGTCCCAGCCCTGAGCCCCCTCCCACACTCTGAACCCCTCGGCCCCAGCCTGGAGCCCCCCCTCCGGCACCCCAAACCCCTCATCCCTGGTGTGATGGGTTCGGTCACAAAGACCCCTTGGGACTGTTACCTGATGTTCTGAAATTACCTCTGAGCCCATTTTCCACTGCCAGTTTGGGACTCCAGAACCCTGCCTTGTTGAGCCAGACATGCTAGTCTGCTGCAACACAGACCCAGGTCTGGTCCACACCCCCAAAGTTGCAGACTTTAACCAAAAACTGCTCAGCAAGTCACCTATCTCCAGCACCCAGACACCCAGTTCCCAATAGGATCCAAATCCCAAATAAGTCCGTTTTACTCTGTGTATATATATAAAAGCTTATACAGGGTAAACTAATAAATTGTCCACCCTCTATAACAATGATAGAGAGATATGCACAGCTGTTTGTTCCCCCAGGTGTTAATCACTTACTCTGGGTTTACTAATAAACAAAAGTGATTTTATTAAGAATAAGAAGTAGGATTTAAGTGGTTTCATGTAATAACAGACAGAACAAAGTAAGTTACCAAGCAAAATAAAACAAAACACTCAAGTCTAAGCCTAATACATTAAGAAACTGAATACAAGTAAATCTTACCCTCAGAGATGTTCCAATAAGCGTCTTTCACAGACTAGACTCCTTCCTAGTCTGGGCCCAATCCTTTCCCTGGTACAGTTCTTGTTAGTTCCAGCTCAGGTGGTAACTAGGGGATTTATCATGACTGGCAGCCCTTTGTTCTGTTCCACCCCTTTTAATATCTTTGGCACAAGGCAGGAATCCTTTGTCTCTCTGGGTCCCCACCCCTCCTTCTAAATGGAAAAGCACCAGGTTTAAGATGGATTCCAGTTCCAGGTGACATGGTCGCATGTCCTGTGAGATCCCAAGCCTCCATTCTTTGGCCTGGTCTACACTAGGACTTTAATTCGGATTTAGCTGCCTTAATCCGAATTAACCCTTCACCCGTCCACACTACAGAGCCAGTTAATTCGAATTAAAGGGCCCTTTAAATCGATTTCTGTACTCCACCTCGACGAACGGAGTAGAGCCTAAATCGATTTTGTTAATTCGAATTAGGGTTAGTGTGGACGCACACCACCGAATTACTATGTTTAAGTTAATGGGGTAGTGTGGCCGCACACCACCGAATTAATGTGGTTTAAAACCGAATTAAGGTGCTTAGTGTGGCCGCGCACAATCGAATTTATACAACCTGTTTCCCAAATTCGAATTATCTAAATTCGGATTAATCCTGTAGTGTAGACATACCCTTTCTGGCCTGACTCACATGAACACAGGAAGGCTTACAAGTAAACAGAGCCATTTACAACCAATTATCCTAGTCAATTGGAGCCATCAAGATTCTAAACCACCATTAATGGCCCACACTTTGCATAATTATAATAGGACTTCAGAGTAATACTTCATATTTCTAACTTCAGATACAAGAATGCTACATTCATAAAAATAGGATGAACACACTCAGTAGATTATAAGCTTTGTAATGATACCTTACAAGAGACCTTTTGCATAAAGCATATTCCAATTACATTATAGTCACATTCCAAGCATATTTTCATAAAGCATATGGACTGCAACATCACACCTGGCCTCACTCCAGAGCCCACACCCCCAGCCAGAGCCCTCACCCCCCCAGTACCCCAGCACCCCACCCCCCTGCCCCAGCCTGGAGCCCCCTCCCACACCCTGAACCCCTCATTTCTGGACCCACCCTGGAGTCTGCACTCCCAGCCCAAAGTGCTACCGCTCCCATACCCCAACCCCCTGCTTCAGCCCAGAGCCCCCTCCCACACTCCAAACCCCTTGGCGCCAGCCCTGAGCCCCCTCCTGCATCCCAAACCCCTCATCCTCGGCCCCACCCCAGAGCCTGCACCCGCAGTCAAAGCCCTCACTTCCTCCCACACCCCAGCCCCCTGCCGCAGCCCAGAGCCCCCTCCCACACCATGAACCCCTAATTTCTGGCCATACCCCAGAGCCCGCACCCCCAGTTGGAGCCCTCACCCCCTCCTGCACCTCAATCCCCTGCCTCAGCCCGGTAAAAATAAGCGAGTGAGGGAGGATGGGGGAGAATGAGTGACAGAGGGAAGGGGGATGGAGTGAGTGGGTGTGGGGCCTCAGAGATGTTGCAGGGCAGGGTGGGGCCTCTGGGAAGGGGCAGGACTGGGGGCGGGGGTGGGGTAAGGGTGTT